TGTTCATCCGGGGGCTCGAAGTGGAGAGGGTGAGCAGCTTCAAATACCTGGGTGTCCACATCAGTGAGGACCTCACTTGGACACTTAACATCACACAGCTGGTCAAGAAGGCCCAATGGCGGCTGTACTTCCTGAGGAGGTTTAGAAGGTTTGTCATGTCGCCTAGGATCCTTTGCAACTTCTACAGCTACATCATTGAGAGCATCTTGACCAGCTGCATCACTGTCTGGTATGGCACCACTACTGCTATGGACCGCAAGCGCCTGCAGAGAGTGGTAAAGACTGCAGAGAAGATCACCAGGACTCCACTGCCCTCTCTGCAGAGCATTTACCACCGCAGGGTGTGTAGGAAGGCTGCCTCCCTCCTCAAAGATCCCACCCACCCCCAGCACGGACTGTTCGCGTCCTTACCCTCTGGCCGGAGGATCAGAAGTGGTAAAATTGGTGGCAGGCCCCTTTAACCTTTAATTCAGAAAATATACATTATTGTAATAACAAATATATTTTTATTATATTGCTGCATTTGCTGCTTAAAGTGCCTTAGATTTTGTGTTACTTATTTATCTACTTTATATTTCATTTGTATTTTGTGGCATTCATGTGGAAGGCAAAGAAAGAATTTCATTGTACAGGGAAACACATTTCCTAACTGTGCATATGACAAATAAACACTTTGGCCTTGACCAATGGGCCCCTGGGTACAGACAAATAAAATACCCCACCCTCTTACATAGAAGCAAAACTTAAGACTGAAATATGCTTAGCACCTCTAAGCAATTGTTTAGCATGTTTTTGTTTTGTATCTCTTTGAGGATATTTTGGATCATTTTGTGTGTTTTTGAGGACATTTTCTACATCTTTGTAGGTGATTTTATTATTGATTTGTGTATTATTTTGCTTCTTTTGTGTCTCTTTGTGAGATATTATTAGAGGCGAGCTCCAGGGGATTCCTTAGCCCTCGGGCCTCTGCAGTCCAGTAATCCGTCCATGATTCCATGGCATACGGTATGTTATCATGATGAATATGACTCCAGTTCCTTCTAGCACAATAATCCGTTCCAGCAGGTCATGTAGCTAAAACGCAGTGCATTGTGGGATGTAGGTTGATGGCGAAGTCAAGATGGCCGAGAACCTCAGGCACAGGAAAGAGCCTGCAGTAGGAAGGCCGTGAAAGAAGTTTTGTGTAGAAAATTCTTCGTCGCTGTCCGTTTAGATTTAAACAGTGGTGGTGCTGAACTTGTAATCAAGCCGTACAGGACTCGATATATTCACTAAACAGCAAAAGAATAACAAACAACTGAGGATAAAGACTCGTATGAATTCCGACGAGAAGGAGGACTGTGAGTGTGCGCCACCACAGGCCGAGACTAGCCCAGCAGAGGGACCCGATAGGTGGGAACGCCAAGAGGAAAGAGTCGGGGATGCTGTGGATGCTAGGAAAACACTGAAAGCTATAGTTAGCTAGCTGTTGGTGGTAGCTGTGTGGATGCCATTGCTCTATTTTATTCATATGATCAGGCAAAGTTCATAGCAAGCATTGGTTGATTAAAAATGAAAATTGTAATTAACGTTACTTTGGAAACGCTATTCTGCGTGATCAGTAGCTTAAATGAGACCAGCGGGCCAGCTAGTTTGCTTGCTAGCTAAATAAATCAGCGTCAGGACGTCAATGTTCCTGACATTTTTCTTCTCCTTAGCCCTTTTCCCTCTCTAAGGCTGAGGTGAAAGATTTTGTTTACTGTTTTATTTTAACAAGAAATAACAAGGTACCCTCTAACAGTGGTTCAATTTCCAGTAATTAGCAGAATATAGTGACAGTGACTGTAATCACTGCAAGACTAGCCTGGTTGTTTCAAGATTCAAGACATGAATCTTGCTTGTTAGCTAACATTAGCATGTCATTTTCTTATCGTCCCATATCTTAGGCACACGCAACTGCTAAATTAAAATATGTCCTAACGTGTGCCCAAGAGCTCCTAATGTAGCTAGCACAGTGCCATCAGCAGCTGTAATTAACATGTCAGTGCAGCAGTGCATCGTGCCCTGTGAAGTTCTAATCGTTATTGTTTGTTGTTGAATTAGAGAATACCAGGACCCTGAAGTAGACAACGCAGAAGCAAGCCGAATGTAAGTTCAACCAATCTTTACTCGTCATGGATGTGGCTGTGAGCATGTATTTAAGACCCCCCTACTATGCCAGTAGCTCCACGGTTGTTTTTGCCTGTTCTCACTTATTTTCTTTTTCTTCCTGTTATAGCTGCTGTCTGTAGTTATAACTTAAAGTGCCCATGGCATGCTCATTTTGCTAATTTCCAGCCATTTAATGTTTAATCTTGGGTACCTCTAGATTAGCCTGGCACCCCCTATAACTCCGAGTAGTTTGTAATTGTTTCACAATCAGAAAGCCAAAAGCCTCTTCCTTAAAATGAGAGGATAGATTGTGAACAAGCACAACTCCTGTTGCCAGTGTTGTCACAAGTGGACAGCACAGCGAAATACAACAGCATTATTAACAGAAATTCATATTGATTATGAATTTCTCCTCCATAGAACAGCGGTATATGTGCCAATGAAAACAGATTTGTAACACCCTAAACAAACCCGGACGTGTAGTAACCTCAGGCCCTGTGTTTTTCTCCATAACTCCTGGTCATAGTGCAGCAGCAGGAGGTAAAATATAATCACAAAACTGGCTGCAATTGAAGTTTTACTGATTTTACAATGGCACTATTGGAAGTCCTTTTTTTTTTTTTTTAAACATAGGCTTTATTGAAAATACACATAACAATCAAGATAATGTAACATTTTGCCAATATGTTGGGGGCACCGGTGGATGTCAGGCAAGCTCACATGAATGTGCAAGAGACTGGATTTTATACCCATTCGAGGAGATCCTTAAACTATCACGTAATACTTTGTTTTGGTAGAAAAAGTCTTGCGAGCAATAGTTTGTGAGACTTGTATAAACTGAGCTGGTTCTGCATAGAAATAGTAGAACATACGAACACCTCATTTTTTGAGCTTTAGGTTACATCTAAGATGATAATTCACCGTTGTAACACAAGTCAAAAAACAAGGAAAAGCATGCCATGGGCCCTTTAACCATGTTACGATATGCCTTCTCTAAGTGTGTCATACTAATTGAAATGATATTTGCATGCAAATATGTGATTGTAAATTGATCCTGTTGTATAGCTGAATTGTCATTTTGATTTGAATTATTCTCTTAACTTTCTTGAAAAACAAATGCTTCTCTGGCAATGAAAAAGGCTAGATCTTTTTAGTAAAGATTGTCATTGCTACTAATCAAAAATACTGTGCCACAACAATGTCCCTGGTCTGGAGTAAATAAGGAGCACAGCCAGAGTTACTCAAAGAAAGCACTATGTTTGTCTCATTTTTACACAACTTGACTCCTAATATTATTTGGTTTATTATTTCATAGAACTAGGAGGTTAATTGACTTTTTACATGTATTCCAAATGTGCCACCCTTAATTGGGACATTATTCCAGCTTGGCCACCACATCAAAAATTTTCTAGATCTGCCCCTGCTTATAACCTGCTATGCATATTTCTGAATGCAGGAAGCGAGCAGCTGCCAAACATCTAATAGAGCGCTATTACCACCAGTTAACGGAGGGCTGTGGGAATGAGTCATGCTCCAACTCATGGTGTGCCTCCTCAGTTGGGTTCAGCCGCATGGATAACAATGCAGCAGCGGTCAAAGCCCTTGAGCTCTACAAGGTTAATGCTAAGCTATGTGACCCCCACCCCTCGAAGAAGGGCGCTGCCTCAGCCTACTTGGAGAGCAGCGTTCACAGCAACTCAGCTTGCAGCAACAGGAAGGTGAACCACAGAGATGTCAACTCTGTACGGGACAATTTCAAAGGTGAGTTGCTAACACACTGTGGATGAACGAACTAGAGTGGTTTTGTTTTAATTTTATTATTAACCATGTAGCATTTGATTCTCTGTGTAGATTTAAATTACCTGACAGAGGAGAAAGTGTATGAAATTTTGGACATCTGTGGAGAGAAGGAGGATTACTCACCTCTGATCAGGGTAATCGGCCGGGTGTTCTCCAGTGCCGAGGGCCTGGTGCAAAGCTTCCGGAGGTCCAAACCTCACACTAAGGAGGAGCTCAAATCCCTCCAAGGTAAGGATGAGGACAAGGATGAGGATGAGAAGGAGGCAGCTGCCTGCTCTGCTACAGCTATGGAGGAGGACTTGGCTGCCACCTCTTCATCATCAAGGCTTGGAGAAGGCTCCTCAGGGGACAATGATGTCCAAAAGCTGGCCCCTGATGAGGTGTCAGTGGATATTGAAGCGGTGCGGAGGGTTTACGAGCGCCTGCTGTCCAATGAGAAGATAGAAGCCGCCTTCTTGAATGCACTGGTCTACCTCTCACCAAATGTCGAGTGTGACCTGACATACCACAACGTGTATTCACGAGACCCCAACTACTTGAACCTGTTTGTTATAGTCATGGAAAACAGCAACCTCCACAGCCCAGAGTACCTGGAGATTGCGCTCCCACAGTTCTGCAAGGCCATGAGCAAACTCCCACTGGCAGCTCAGGCCAAGCTGGCCCGATTGTGGTCACATTACAGCCCAGAGCAGATCCGGCGCATGGTGGAAACCTTCCAGCAACTCATTACCTACAAAGTGATCAGTAATGAATTCAACAGCCGCAACTTGGTCAATGATGATGATGCAGTGGTGGCAGCCACCAAGTGCTTGAAGATCATTTACTATGCAAATGTGCTGGGTGGCGACCTTGATGTGGAGCACAATGAGGAGGAGGATGAGGAGCCCATCCCAGAATCCAGTGAGCTCACCCTGCAGGAGCTTCTGGGCGAGGAACGGCGGAACAAGAAAGGCCCTCGGGTGGACCCACTGGAGATGGAGTTGGGAATTCGCACCAACGATTGCCGGCGGCCGCTTATTTCCTTTGAGGAGTTTGTCAATGAGCCTCTGAATGAGGTGCTGGAAATGGACAAGGACTACACTTTCTTTAAAGTTGAAACTGAAAACAAGTTCTCCTTCATGACCTGCCCCTTCATCCTGAATGCTGTCACCAAGAACCTCGGTCTGTACTATGACAACCGCATCCGCATGTACAGCGAGCGGCGTATTACTGTGTTGTATAGCTTGGTACAGGGCCAGCAGCTCAACCCCTACCTGAGGCTCAAAGTGCGACGAGACCACATCATTGATGATGCTCTGGTCAGGGTATGTTTGTGCCAGGTCAATACATACAATTTACCCCCCCCCAAATGAGGTTCAGTTTGGGACATACCCTCATCTATTTCTCTTGTGTATCTCTATAGCTGGAAATGATAGCAATGGAGAATCCTGCAGACTTGAAGAAGCAGCTGTATGTTGAGTTTGAAGGAGAGCAAGGTGTTGATGAAGGAGGTGTTTCCAAGGAGTTCTTTCAGCTCGTGGTAGAGGAAATATTCAACCCAGATATTGGTAAGAATGCCCAACAAATAGTATTTATGTTGCAGAGTGAATGTAAGTAGGAAACACTGTAGTTTTAGCTGTTCAATACATGAACAGAAGGCTGATTAGCATTATGATTTTGTCAAAGCTGAACAGGAAGTAACTCAACATGTAGGGTAAACATGTTCATTTTGAAGGGTTTTCCCTAGGTTTCTTGATGGCATAGAGTCTGTGGTGGTGTGTTTTCATGTAATTTTGAACAGTTATTATAATTTATAATTTTTTACTTTTCTTGTCTATAATTTTTTTTAGGGATGCACCAGTGCCCCTTTTTTCAGACTGAATACACTTAGATCTGAGTACTTTGTGATATCAATTATCAGGTGCGTCAATCAATGTTAATAAAACCTAATGCAATGTCTCGGTTTCCTCCTGCAGGCATGTTCACATATGACGAACGCACCAAGCTGTTTTGGTTCAACCCATCATCATTTGAAAACGAGGGCCAGTACACGTTGATCGGTATTGTTCTTGGTCTGGCCATTTATAACAACTGTATCCTTGATATCCACTTTCCTATGGTGGTCTACAGGAAGCTGATGGGCAAGAAAGGAACTTTCAGGGACTTGGCTGATGCCAACCCAGTAAGAAGCACCTCAGCAAATGTTATGAATGCCCTGTAGCTGGGTAGTAGGTGTTCCATATTTGTTACTTAATCTGCATTGCTAAATATATCTTGATTGTGTTGGAAAGGTTCTGTACCAGAGCCTGAAGGAGTTGCTGGAGTACGAGGGCAGCGTGGAGGAGGATATGATGATCACTTTTCAGATTTCCCAGACAGACCTGTTTGGGAACCCGCTCATGTATGATTTAAGGGAAAATGGGGACAAGATTCCAGTTACAAATGAAAACAGAAAGGTGAGTCAAACAGAAAATGTGCAGCATTTTCTAACTGTCCTCCTGGTGTCATTGAATCCGCAGTGGGGAAAAGGAAGAATAAAAGATAAGTAGAGTTTTGACATTAAATGGCAGCTGTCCCGGTTGATGTGTTTGTGCAGGAGTTTGTGGCCCAGTATGCAGAGTACATGCTGAACAAAAGTGTGGAAAAGCAGTTCAAAGCATTCAGGAGAGGTTTCCATATGGTCACCAATGAGTCGCCACTCAAGTATCTGTTCAGACCAGAAGAAATTGAGCTCCTTATCTGTGGAAGCAGGGTGAGATTTGTTGCCACATGTTTGTTAGGAGTCATTTCAGTTTGCTTAAATGCTGAGTTTCCATCCATGTTTGGTTTGTGTCACATGCTGCAGAACCTGGACTTCCTTGCACTGGAAGAAACGACAGAATACGATGGCGGCTACAACAGAGATTCTCGAATCATCAAGTAAGAATATGTGTGTATATAGATCCATTATATGCAAACCCGATGTGCAAGACTGTACTGACCATTACAAAGGTTCCTGTTTCCTTCAGAAATGGTCAGGATTAATAGTGAAAATAATAGGGAGGTGTGTTTAATAGCATTTGAGAGTGTTTGTTTGCGCCACAGGGAGTTCTGGGAGACATTGCACTCATTTGGTGAGGAGCAGAAACGCCTCTTCCTGCAGTTCACCACCGGCACTGATAGGGCACCTGTGGGTGGGCTGGGCAAGCTGAAGATGATCATTGCCAAGAATGGCCCCGACACAGACAGGTGAGCTGAACTCTGAAATGTTTGCACTTTCTTCTCACTGTTTTAGAACAGGGATGCTGAACAATTTGGGAAAATTGCTTTTGATTTGAAATAGATTTTTTAAAATAATATAGCAATTTAATATGCAAGTTTTTCTTGGTTCTGTATTACTCACTTCAGACAAACTTTGCTGTAAACAACAGAAGGGAGTCCAACTCAACGTCCTCATACATGCACCAGTGGTGCAACTTTATTTTCAGATGTGTGTCTATATTTTTGTCCTCCCTAGCTATATTACATGCACAGGTGTACCTAATAAAGTGGCAGGTGAGTGCACATAATCTAGCACAGCTGTTCTCAACCAGTGGGCCGTGGAGTAGTACTGCAAAGGTTTAGATTAAAATTATTATTAGTAGTAGCAATGATTTACAAAGTTTGGTATTTACTAAATGTGTTCAAGAATCCGTCCATCCTCTTTCGCTTATCCGAGACCAGGTTGCTGGGGCAGCAGTCTAAGCAAAGATACCCAGACTTCCCTCTCTCCAGACACTTCCTCCAGCTCCTCCGGGGTAATGCCGAGGCGTTCCCAGGCCAGCCGAGAGACATAGTCCCTCCAGCGTGTCCTAGGTCTTCCCTGGGGCCTCCTCCCGGTGGGACATGCCCGGAACACCTCCCTAGGAAGGCGCCCAGGAGGCATCCGAAACAGATGCCTGAGCCACCTCAGCTGGCTCCTCTCGATGTGGAGGAGCAGCGGTTCTACTCTCAGCTCCTCCCAAGTGACCGAGCTCCTCACCCTATCTCACCCAGCCACCCTACGGAGAAAGCTCATTTCGGCCACCTGTATCCAGCCCTTTCAGTCAGGAGCGTAGATCGACCAGTAAATTGAGAGCTTCGTCTTACAGCTCAGCTCCTTCTTCACCACTACGGACCGGTACATCGACCGCATTACTGCAGAAGCTGCACCGATCCGCCTGTCAATCTCCCGTTCCATCTTTCCCTCACTCGTGAACAAGACCCCAAGATACTTGAACTCCTCCACTTGAGGCAGAAACTCTCCACCAACCTGACGGGATCAAGCCATCCTTTTCCGACTGAGAACCATGGCCTCGGACTTGGAGGTGCTGATTCTCATCCCAGCCACTTCACACTCGGCTGCAAACCGTCCCAGTGCACGCTGAAGGTCCTGGTGTGATGGAGCCAACAGGACAACGTCATCTGCAAAAAGCAGAGACGAGATCCTGTGGTCCCCAAACTCCCTCCGGCCCCTGACTGCACCTGGAAATTCTGTCCATAAAGATAATGGACAGAACCTGTGACAAAGGGCAGCCCTGCCGGAGTCTGACATGCACTGGAAACAGGTCTGACTTACTACCGGCAATACAAACCAAGCTCCTGCTAACAGAGTGCCCTGGACCCCATAGTCCCGGAGCACCCTCCACAGGGGACACGATCGAATGCCTTCTCCAAATCCACAAAATACATGTGGACTGGTTGGGCAAACTCCCATGAACCCTCCACCACCCTGAAGAGGGTATAGAACTGGTCCAGTGTCCGGCGGCCAGGACGAAAACCGCATTGTTCCTCCTGAATCCGAGGTTCGACTATCAGTCGAATTCTCCTCTCCAATACGCTGGCATAGACTTTCCAGGGGAGGCTGAGGAGTGTGATCCCCCTATAGTTGGAACACACCCTCCAGTCCCCCTTCTTAAAAAAGAGGGACCACCACCCCGGTCTGCCAGTCCAGAGGCACTGTCCCCAACCGTGTTTTACTGCTGTTAGCTAGCAAGCAAATGTTTCCTTGCATGCAGTGAGGCAGAGTGGATCAGTTATTGAAATGAAGAAGTGATGTGTGAGATAACGCTGCACCAGTAAAATCTCCAGAATGTGTGAATACAGTAAATACATAAAGTGAGTACTTTTTTCATTTATTTGATAAGGTGGTCCTCATAAATTAAATAATCAAAAGTGGGCTTTTAGTTGCAAAAGGTTGAGAACCCTTGATCTAGTCACAGACCATGAGAGCATGCACTTATGTTGGATGATTGAATAGAGCTTTTCTAATCCACAACACAAGTGGAGGTGGAAGAACTGATATATCTGGATAACCATAGCTGGCGTTAGAAAATCCAGGATTGCTCATTTGATCTAGGATCTGTTTAGCAAAATACGAAAAACCCAAAATGGGTCCACATGACTGATGTACTGTTTCGCTTTGACACAAGTGTTGTCGACATTTAGTTTTGCTCACTGCCATGGCTATTTTTGTAGTGGCTAGTCGCACCACATTGAAATTTATTGGGGTGGGTTTCAAGTGAAGCCTGCTGAGGAGGGCAGAGTGCACTCACATATGAAGCCTTTGGGGGCGCCACTCAGATTGTTTGGAATCTGTACTGTTTGAAATGTTTTAATGGCAGTTTAAATCACATCTTTTGTGATTAGAAAATCATGCTTTGTTAAATTGCGATTTCAATTTGAAAATTATTAATTGTTCGGCCCTAGTCATAAAACTTAAACTGCACTAGGTCCGCCCTAGTAAGATCGTTTCAGCTTTTACAGAAAAGTGACCATCTCATTTAGATGCTTCATCTGGCGTATTCAGATGCCGCCAGATTAATGAAAAGGAGCGACTGTTACTTAGATTTAACCAGATCAGAAAAGTTGTCATCTGATGGCACAGATCTTTCACCATACATTTGTGCAAAGCTTTGTGATTGCTGCTGGCATGTGCGAGAGTGAAACTGACTGGCTGTGTGTCATTTTCTCGGCAGGTTACCAACATCTCACACTTGCTTCAATGTGCTGCTGCTGCCAGAGTACAGCAGCAAGGAGAAGCTGAGGGAGAGACTGCTGAAAGCCATCACCTATGCCAAAGGGTTTGGCATGCTCTGAGCCCCCACTCCAAACACACGGCGAACTGACTCCTTCTCGAAAAGCCCATCAAACCCTGCCCTGCCCCTTCCTTTATCAGACACAATCGAAAAGGTGACAAAAGACAGCAGTTTCTAGGAACAGCAAGTCAATACTGAAAGAGGAGCAATGGTTCAAATAGAGTGATCTAGTTCTTCTGCTGTGCCTCTTCACACATCAGTCAGCATAAGCACAGGGACCCCCACATCCACATTATGTGAATGTGCCACAGCTTTCCCATCTTTTTATGTACAGAGAGAATCATTTTCTTTATTTATTTTAAGGTTAAAATGGGTTATTTTTCATGCCTGCCTGTTGTGACAGTTCCCCTACACAGGGAAAGGGGAGGTTTAATATTAAACTGTACATTTGGGACAGTGCATTAACAAGTCAATATAAACCCCATTTATTGAACAAAATCATGTTAAACTAGCCCTGAATTGACAGAAAATCTAGGTTTAGAGTAGCCTCTACTACAAATGTTGTGCTCCCTGCTAAAAAAAAAAAAGAAGAGCTCCTACCAACCATTCCACTTAAAATCATCACTTATTGTTTCTGCCAAGTCCATGTTCAGTCAAGGTAAGCATTTGGGAAAAAAAAAGGTGCATTATCACTTAGCTCTATTACTGTTTTGTTTTTGGGCCTTTCGTCCTTTCGGGGAGGGGGACGGGGATGCCACAGGTTAGATTCATATCTTGTCAGAGCTGTGTAAGTGCACTTAGACATTTTCAGAATGTTTCGTTTTGGCCGCAGGTTGCCATGATTGTTCGAAGCATTTTATTTCCATGTCTTCCTGTGTTAACAATTCTAAATAAAAACAGTATTTATATATCAGTGATGTTGGAGCTACAGTACCGTATTGTGCACGTTTTGGAGGATGTTCCCAGGTAGACCTGCCACTGTTGATGTTCTCTCTTCTTGTGCCAACCTGACAGTGAGTAGATGAGTAAAACCCCAGTAGGCACTTGGTGTATTCTGTTTCAGGCTTGTCTGACTAGACAGCTCGCTGCAGTCCCTCTGTTCAGTACAGACCCAGAGGGTAGTGTGTACTAAAGAACGTGTCTACAGAATGTTTGTCACTGACCAAGCTTTGGTACCTTGTTATCTTTAGTCCAGTTTACACAGTCTCTGACTGTGTTTACACTTGACCTTTTACCACAACATGTTTCCAGACCCGATCAGATGCCGCACAAGTGAGGACATCAGTCTAAGCACAATCTGAGCAGTGATTATGTCACATCCGCAATCCAGGAACAGTCAATTCCGAAACCACTCGCTGAGTCTCAGACAAGCCCCTTAGTACTGATTGTCTTCTCTACGTCGGGGGTAGAAATTCCTGTATGGGCACATCATTATGATCAGGTTGTGATATGGATCTGTGAGAATAGAAACAGGTGTGATCACTGTCTATGGAAAAGTCTAACAAGGATTCATTTTGCTTTTTTTTTTAAACTTACAAGCTATTGAAATTTTAATGTGAAATCATCCCCCAAGAGAACTGGCAGATGTTTTTAAATAGTTTTGGTTCAGTTAAACAGGCTATAATGATAAAGGAAGTCAGTAAATTATTTTTTTTACTTAGATCTTTTGTAGTTTTGAGCATGATTCTTTTCAGTTTCAAACTCTAATTTGTTGCTTTGAAACCACTAACAGCAGCACAGGTTTCATACACCCAGAGAGGTTTTAAATGAATCTACAATTTAACCAAATTATTTAAACACCCATTTGAAAAGGAAACAAAATGGACACATCTGAAATATAATTTCTAACAGTAACTGTTATGTGAAACCTTTTTTCATCAGTGAACATCACATCTGTATTTTTCTTTGTCCAAGTTATTAAGATGTAGACTTTTCAATCCAGTCTTTCATTAAACTTCAGTACAAGAAAAAGAGTTTATAATGGAGGAAAACCACAGTAGACATGATGTTTATTGTGATGGATTACACAGGAATGAGTGGCAACCAATGCCTAACTTGAACAGTGTTTAAAAAAAAACTGAAGAACAAAAAAACCTTAGCATACTTTTAAACATGATTGTCATAAATGTAAAATATTCACTAACCTTGCAAATACACCGGTCCTTTAAAGATAATACTGTTTGGCTTACTTCCAAAAAAGTGGCTGAGATAATTTGTCTGAACTGTGCATAAAAACCATGCATGTTGCTGTAAACAGTTTCCCCTCATTTTCAGGCCTGGTTTCCTGCACTTTTCAGCCACATCTCCTAGTTGTTAATAAATGAAGCTGGCTCAAACATTATCACGTGGACTACATACGGTATGGATGTCAGGGAATCCCAAGTGGTCATGCATGGTGGGAGATTACCCCGTCCTGGTTCAGAGATGGTCTCTGGAGCCACATGTTCTGCTGCCTGTGAACACCGGCATAAAGCTGTTTACAGCAGCCACTGGGAAAAGGTCAAAGGTCATGGGGCCAGTAGAAAGAGACCCAGAGACCATCTCTGGGTTCTTCATATACTGAAATTGGAATTCTTTTCTTTGGTCATGTGATGACAGCTGAGGAAAGCCAAGGGATGTGGATGAAAGCTCCAGAACATTTTTTTTTCTTCAAGACAGATTAAGAAATTCAATTATCCATTAACCAGGACTGTAACAGCAACGGCATAGGACAGTAGTGATACAGTGAGAAAGGTTTGCTTGCTTTGATGCATTCAAAGCTAGGTGATCCTAATTATGTCTGTAAGACTTATACAATTCATTTGAAACTCAGTTCAGCCTGTGACTGTGATTTTGCCCTCAACGATGCCACTATCACAGCAGTGCACAACACAACCCTGAGCCATTCTTTGTGCTCCATTGCTCTTCTCATTGTCACGGTTTGAACCTGACCTGGGCAATATGATGCTGGAGACTACCTTTCACTCTTTTGTTTTTCTTGGAGTCACTGGTCGATACATGGTGTGCCTGAAAATGTGGACAAGTCTCTACAGAATGCAGTATTTCTTGCGGTATCAACAACTTAGCTGGCATTGTTATACTGCAGTAATGTGGAAGGTTAAAGATTGAATAGAACTGTTATTGAGCCCAGGTCTAGTTTCATGCTGTTTAACATCAATCTGTACCTCTGTTTTGTAATGCTATAGATGCTGCTTGCTTTGGTATGTGAAAGGGCTCTAGGTAAAAGGTGAAAGGTCAACCTGATCTTGGAAAGGGATATAGTTATTAATTGGTTTGACTCAACAGTTAGATTCTCAAGATGTAAACTGATGAAAGGCTTAAAGTATCCAGTGTTGTGAAAACATGCTAAATAAAGATGACAGCTTTTTTCCAACTTGCATCACTTTATAATCTTGATTTGAGTCCTTGGGTCCTTTGTTGTCATGAAATTGAATATTACCCATGTTCCACAGTTTTTAGTGGGTCTCAGTCACTGTGGTTTTAACCAGAGGCTAGCAACAGAATTACCATCCAGCATAGCAGTACTCAAGTCCAAGTCTGACTCGAGTCCTGATTTTCAGGACTCATGACTTGACCTGGACTTGAGAACTGTTGATTCAGACTTTACTCGAGCATTGACTGCATTCAGACCCGGAAGCTGGCAGTCTATAATAATTTGCCATAAAATATTGACATTAAAACCTGCATTTGTTTGTCTGTTTTGTCACAAAGTAAATAGTCATTTTAAAATGGTCAGAGCTGTGTCAGTTGTGTTTAATGTAGATCTTGATTACTCCAACTCAACATGGACTCAACTCAGCCTGATCTGTGGTGACTCAGACTTGCCTCGGACATGAACACTGGGGACTTGAGGTGACTTGCCTACCACACTGACCCTGTCACACCACCTTTGTCATAAAGTTTCTTATATGAAAATGCTTTTTTCATGATTAATAAATGTATGTCATGCTAAGAAGTATTTTTGGACCAAAGTTAACAAAACTACAACCAATGCTTTGGGCTAATTGCTAAGAAGTGCAGCTGTGACTGATAAGAATGTCATTAATTTTGCAGGTATTTGATTAGAAACCTAACAAAGTGTCTTTGCAAAGTTGTGTGCTAATCCATCCAACAAAGGTGGAGATATTACCCTTGGTTACTGACAATTGTGACCTGCTGGTGGCACTAGATAAAATGTTGTGGGATTACTAAAGTCATCAGGATCCATCCTCTATTTGTTCTGGATTTCATTGTGTTGAGATATTTTTGTGTACCAAAGTGATGGAATGGCTGACCAACATGACTGAAAAGTAGCTATGCACTTGAATGTACTCTTAAAAAAAAGAAGCAGCAGTTGACATAGAGGTTGGATAATGTCCATATCTGGCTTCACCAGAAAGTAAAGGAGAATCCTCACATAGAATTTTGCAAATATTTTCCCAAATATTTAGTGATTTCACCAAAAAGGTCTTCATGTGAATTGATGAATTTATCAAACATACCACATAAAATTTGACATTTCACTTATTGTTCACTATAATTTAACTTGGATTTGTCTTCCTAAATTGACTCACTGTTGGTCTGGTGATGGGTCTGGAAACAAACAAATGTTTACCATTATTATTCCTGATTGCTTTATATAAACATCACATTTAAATGATTGCATTACAGGTGTGAATATGACACTATTTTCATTTGCGAGACCAAAATGATACCTTTTTGATGCCATTTGTTACTCATTGCAAAAAAAAAAAAAAGCTTTTTTGTACTGTCCAATTTTTTATGTACTTGGTAGGAGCACAATTCTACTCAAAGTACAGAGGCACTCAGACCTATGCATATGTTTCAATGATTAACCTTCAAGGCAACCTTACCATTTTTACCACATATGGAAATAATGAATGGAGACTATCTCTGTCCAACTGCTGGTCAGATGTGCCAAGTGCCATGGGATGACCTCAGAAGGAATTCTCTGAAATGGAAAAGTCCCTAAGCCTTGCAGTAGTGATGCCAAGCCAATCTCTACTCATTGTCCACCCTGAGGGTTCGGGCCCGGTTCGACAGATTACTGAGCCGCTGCTTGAGTTTACACTGGGAGGATTCATAATGGTCTGTCAGCTTTTTTAATTTGGCTGTCATGACATCCAAACTTCCTTCAATTTGTCTTACATTTTCCTCCAAGTCTTTGGTATCAGTGACCACAACCGACGACTCATCTATGAGGTTATCTTTCATCAGGATGGCCTTTCCCTTCTCCTCCAGAGCATTTTTAGCATCAGGATACTCAGTGAGTGCCTCCATCAGATCGTCTTTGGACAAGGCAAACAGATCAGAGTATCCCACACTTCGGATGTTGGCTGTTCTTCGGTTTCCTGCTTTGCTGCCCTTGATACCAAGGATACTGATTTCTCCAAAGTATGCCCCTTCACTGAGAACCACAAACTGGGTAACCCCATCATCTGCCACTACAGCCAGTTTTCCTTCTTTGATGATGTACATTTCCTTGCCGATGTCCCCCTTCTTACAGATGTAGTCACCAGGACTGAAAACCTGAGGCTGAAGCTTGAGGACCAACTCAATAAGCAAACCTGCTTCACAGTCTTGAAAGATGCGCACTTTTCTTATGGTCTCCAGATGTACATTGATGGCTATCTCAGCCTTTAGCTTGTCTGGCAGGTTCTTCAGCACCTGCTTCTCATCACAGGTTTTCTCCTCTCTCCACAAATAGTCAAACCACTTCACCACCCTTGCCTCCAGCTCTTTGGAGACCTTTCGAAATTGCATGTACTGCTTGATAGCGTCAATCTTAGATTGGAACTCTACACGTGCAGCATTCATGTTGGAAATCATAGCACCAACATTGCCAACAATTGTGGCAAAGATTAGAACCCCAATAAGGAAATCAGCTACCACAAAAAAGTATTCAGCGTCTCGGACTGGGGGTGGTGTCTCACCTATAGTTGTAAGGGTAAGAGTGGACCAGTAAAAGCTGTAGATGTATTGTCTGGTCAGGCAAGCAAAATCAGGACTATTTATGTCTGGATATACCCAGGTGTCGGTGCCAAAACCAAGCACTTTAGAGATGGCAAAATAAAGGCATCCATTCCAGTGGATAATGATGATGATGTAAAGTACCAGATTAGCAATTCGGAAGATGTTTGGGAAATTGGTTCGAGTTTCAGTCCGGTCAAAGAACTCAAAGAGTCGGGCTAACCTAAAGAGACGGTTGAACCGCCACTCTGGGTTGTCAATTCCAGTTTTGAGAAATACAATATCAGTGGGAATGATTGATATGATGTCTAATTTGAACTGGCGTGTCTTCATGTAGTGTTCTTTCAGAACCTTTTTATCCTTTACAAGTAGTCCTTGTACCAGAAAACCTGTTGACACATTACAATATGATTAGCAATATCATATATACAAGGTTTTTTGTAATCACAGACTTCACAAATTCAAAAAAATTCCCATCACTGACCTGTCCTGGTTCTCACAAAAATATCAAAGTAATACAGGACATCTGAGGTGTAGTCAAGAATGATCCATGTTGTTGTGTTTTGATTCTGCAGTTCATTAAAACAAGCCCTACAGGCAAGCAAAGGGTTAAAGAACACTGAAACAACGTTAAGGTAAATAAGAAATGCCATGAATTCAAACCTGGCAACCAGGAAAATCAGGTTGTAGAACACTGGGATGGAAATTGCACACAGCCAGTAGTAATATGTATCTGTGGCAGGATCCATGACCCACACCTCATTTCTGAATGAGAAAGTAGATATTATAAACAAGACATCTAGGACATTCTCATTTGATGGAAATTTGCAGCTATAAAAAATACTGACTGGTACTTACGGTTCTTCTTTATTCTCATCCTTTTGGTCATCTTTCATGTCATCCTTTTTGAGCTCCTGTTTTTTGTCATCTTTTTTGCTGTAAATGTCCACAAACAGAAGGATGGTGTGGTGAATATACACTGCTCAAAAAAATAAAGGGAACACAAGGGAAAATAAGACATTCAACTATGTAATGAACAAGGTATTTAATAAGAATATTTCATTTATTCAGATCTAGGATGTCTTATGTTGTCTTCCCTTTATTTTTTGAGTAGTATATTTAACATTGTTGTCATGCAGTAGTTTCAGAGAGCCTGAGGAGGGTGCTGTGACACAGCGTATCATATTAAAGTGGTGCGCAGTTGGTTTATCTACCCACAACAGTGGTCCTCAGGTTGCTGCTTAGTCAGAATGGTGGTCCCCGGGTCACAATTAGTTGAAAACCCCTGGTGTAAACGGTTGTGCTCAAGTCATAACAAAGCAAAAAGAAGGAATTTCTGTAAACCTAATAGACTTCACTGCTTTTATACAATGACTACATTTTCCTTAGCTCAGTACACGTTAAGAGAAGCAATCCTTCTGATGTTAGTGACTCAATACATCTACAGGGCAGACAGATGTATGGAGATTTTTTCTGAGTGCAAATATAACGCACAACACATTTTTTTGTCACTCTAAGAATTAACTTTACTTTTTTTTCCCCACTACTGGAAAGATTCCAAGATACCAAGGATAGCAAATACTGAACACATGTTTTTTATGTCAAATTGATGTGACTAGTGGAATTGCTCTTTCCATACATAGTATGTAAATCTACTGGAAGCTGGTGGTACCTTATCTCTAATAAATAATCTCTAATTAAGCAGTGTGAGGGAGTGTGAAAGAAGATAAGATAACAGTTTATTACAAAGCCCAGCTGGGTCAGGTGTTGGACCAGCGCCACCGTGTGAGACGCCGCCTGCTGTCTGGAGGGCATCATCAGAATCAGATTATCCAGATAAAAAAGGACTCTGATTCCTTCCTGTGCAATGGTTCCAGTGCCATCTCCACACACTTGGAGAATGTGTGAGAGGCCAGAGAATAATCGAAGGACAATCGGTTTTATTGGACCAGCGCACATTGGAAAGAGAAGCGCAGGAATTTCTTGTGTTTGGGGATGATGGGCACACGAAAGTATGTGTCTTTTTTGTCGATGAATGTGAAGCAGTCGCCCAGACATACACACTCCAGCACCTGCTTTACGGTGAGCGTGTGAAACAGCCTCTTCACTATGTATTTCTTGAAAAGGGACACAGATTGAGGATGGGCCTCACTACACCTGAAGTGTCGGGAACCAGGAAGTAGCATAAGTAGAAAACTTCATACTCCTGACGCCCACCAAGAGCCGGGGTCTGTCGGAGGTTTCTTCCATTAAAGGGAGTTTTTCCTCCCCACTGTCGCCAAGTGCTTGCTCAAGGGAGATTTGTTGGGTTTTCCCTATGTAATAATAGTGATAACAGTAAGGTCTAGACCTTACTTTGTAAAGTGTCCTGAGATTACTTTTGTTGTGATTTTGCGCTATACAAATAAAATTTGATTTGATTTGACTGGGCGGAACTGCGGAGATAATTTTTTTTGTCAACAGTTCTTGCAGCTCCACCATCAGCGTGGTGGAATCTGCCAGTGACGCCATTACCATCACCAGCACTCCGCTGAAAGCAGGGGGATGCCTGGAAAATTGCAGAGTGTACCCAGTTTGTATCAGCATGTCCATCCAGCTGTTCATGGACAGCCGCTCTCACCACACAGCGTAGTGTTCTGAAAGCGGACACGTACTCATTTGTGAGGTGTCTGTGGACATCGTCGCCAGCCTTTGAAGCACCCTCTCTGCCATTGTGAGAGCCGAGTGTTCGCTCGTCACAACCCATGGGAGGGTGGTGGCAAAAAGGCTGTGGAAAGGCGAGCGCCCTGAGCAGAGTGTCACCGTCCGCATCACATGCGGGAGAAAAACCGCCACTCGCGCGACAACGGGTGAGAGGTGGAGAGGCTGTAGAGGGACAGCGGCAGCACGACTGAGTCAACCATGTAAGATTTGAATCTTATAGGTTCTAGTTACTTTATAAGCTTTAGTTATTTTTCATAACTTTTTCCTTTAGTTTTCATAACTTTATTTTCCTTTAGTTAATAATCATACCTTTATTTTTCCTTGCTTATATATATATATTAAAGCTGTATTGATGACTGCCATATTCTACTGAGTTGAAACTTTGGAACTGTATGCTGCAACTTTTGTGGAGACATGATGTCTGTACCTTCAAGTAACCAGATGGCCTATTTTACATTTTAGCACAGACCTGTTGGCCTGTTTTGCATCTTCCGCGGGCAGAGGTTAACCTACTCACGCCAAATGGCCAATAGGATTATGAAGTGTGAAATGTTGTACCTCTGTCTCTCTGACCCCAGCACTGTATAACTTCACCTGTGACCACACTTTGATTAAATTTCCTATTGATTTTACACAGTCCTTCTGTCTTCACTTCCAACAAAAGAATTGGTGCGCAGACAACCAATTGTTCAGTTTTCAGATTGCTAGCCGCCGCCTGAAAATCACAACACACACACACACACCTGGTTTAGATCATATTTCAGCAAGCAGGCGCGGGCAGAGGTTAACCTACTCACGCCAAATGGCCAATAGGATTATGAAGTGTGAAATGTTGTACCTCTGTCTCTCTGACCCCAGCACTGTATAACTTCACCTGTGACCACACTTTGATTAAATTTCCTATTGATTTTACACAGTCCTTCTGTCTTCACTTCCAACAAAAGAATTGGGATTTTTTCTAACCACTGCGAGAGGATTCGCCCATGTTTTATCTTTGACAATTTCCTCCAAAGACTAGCTGTGGTTGCAGATTACAGCTCACCTGCTCCTTGTGTTGTCCTCTGTCCTCTGGATGCTGAGGCTGGGCTGTGCAAGGCCAACACTGCTCTTCCCAAAGTCCATCATGTGGGACAGCCTTGGAAAAGAGATCAAAATGGCCCTACTGGTAAATCATGCACCAAGTTTCTGTTCGTACCAGCACTGCACTCAATTTAATATCAGCTATGAACACTGTCTGCACTGAATGGAGACATTCTCTGAGGTTCACCCTGGTGTCTCTGAACTAAAGTGTGAGAGTTATTAGTGAAACTCAGGCCTGTCACCTCTAGAGGTGTCTGATCCCTCTATGTTCATTGGCCTGGAGACACAGAGAAAGCAATGACTTTGTCAAATATAGACATTAACCATCGGTCCATGTGTCTTAACCAAGGCCGATAAGAAAGTGCAGCAAATGTATTAAAGGACAAGGCCAGCCATTTTCTATATTAACAGTATTTCAAACACTCCCCTCACAGAGAATAAAACCAACAATGAATTGCCTCTACCCACTATTAATGTCTGTCAGTCCTGGATTAGCTTATTTGTCTGTGCTATCGACCTGTCATGGTTTGAAATCATGCTTCCTGATTTTCTGTTGTCTTTCCCTGTCTCTCCCTGCCTGTCATGTCCTCCACCAGCGCAATCAGTCATCAACTGCCTCCACCTGCTGCTCATTATCTCCCAGTCCATTCCCATTTTCCGTTAGCTGCCCTGCTGGTTCATTGCATGCTTACTCTCCGCCCAACATAAATACAAATAAACTTTATATATATTATGTTATTTTTTAAATTTATTCCCTTTATCTTAATATGTTTCTTCTTCAGGACTGTCAACTCAAATCCTTCTCTCCCAGATGACATCAACTAAAATTAGATTTTGAACTCTGTCACTTTAACATTAACAACAATCACGTGTAATGTGTAAACGTAGCTTACCTGAATTCGAGTGGTGAATATAAGCAGTACAGAGAAGTCAGGGTGAGCTCCGGATGAATCCCATTTTGTTCCTTGTTTCTTCTTCCTGCTTGACATCAAAGAGGAGACTGACTGTAGAGCTGAGGGCTCATGTATAGGTCCAAGTCAGTGGAGAACACAGCACTCATGGTTTTCTATGCATGAGATCTTCCCCGCT